TAAAATTGGAGTGTCTGTTTGTAATATCCGTTGAAATAACTGTTTTTTACTGCATGCATACGAATATAGATACGGAACATACACCAAAAAACCACTTTTTAAACTTTTTTGTCTATCTGTCTGTCGTTCTGTTTTTTCCGGCTAATCTCTGAAACGGCTGAACCGATTTTAACGGGACTTTTTTTGGCAGGTAGCTGACGTAATAGGGAGTAACTTGGCTACTTTTATTTTAGAAAAAAAAATATTTTATTTTATAGTAAAATAAAGTAATTTTGTAATGTAATACCGCGCGGAGCTCACGCGCATGCTACGTCTGGTTACGTCGCGGCGTCGCGTCGCGTCGCCGCGTCGGACGCCTCCCGCGCCTCTCCTCTCGCACCAATGAATCAATATCACAAAGGCTACCTATCGCGCGAGATCATATCGCGCGAACGGGCTGTAGTTGATGTTTGTCTCGACGAGTTTATTTAAAAATTTATTTCCAATCCTTATTTCATACTTTTGATTGATACCTATATTTTATAATTACATTCGTACAATTACAATTCGTACTTCTTATCTTAATTCAAAATATTTTGTTACATTTTTACTGCTTTCTTTTTACCTTTAAATCTTATATATAAAATTCTCGTGTCACAGTTTTCGTTCCCATACTCCTCCGAAACGGCTTGACCGATTCTCATGAAATTTTGTGAGCATATTGAGTAGGTCTGAGAATCGGCCAACATCTATTTTTCATCCCCCTAAATGTTAGGAGTAGTCCACCCCTAAATTTATTTTTTTATTTTAAGGCAAAACAACGTTTACCGGGACAGCTAGCAAATATTATAAATCTAGGTACATTTGTGTTCAATATTTAGATTTACATTGAAATTTATAAATTATTTATAGGTTATTTTATTTAGTTAGTAACGTAGATAGTTGTTTTTCCTAAAATAAATATTTTTAAGTTAGATTTTTCGTTTATTAAATGCACACTATACATTCATACATACATATAAATAAAATCGGAGTGTCTGTTTGTAATCCTTATTTAATATTATAAATGCGAAAGTAACTCTGTCTGTCTGTCTCGCTTTCACCGAAAAACTACTGAACAGACTAAATGAAATTTGGTGCACAGATAGATTAGACCCTGAGAAAGGACATGGCTTCTTTTTAATGCGAAAAAAGAGTACAAGGGATTGAAAGGGGGGATGAAAGATTGTATGGAAGAATTGTCATTTTTGAAGCTAGACGCTAAATTTATTTTTGGGGCTGTTAATTAACTATAAATAAAAATGACATTTAAAGTTTGTAAAAAATACACTTAAGGGGGTAAAACAAAATAGGGGATGAAAGTTTTTATGTAAATTCGTAGTTTTTGTAGCTAGGAGTTTGAAATTTATTTTTGAGGCTGTTAATTAGCTATAAATAAATATGATATTCAAAGTTTGTAAAAAATTACCCTTAAGGGGGTAAAATAAAATATGTGATGAAAGTTTTTATGGAAAATCGTCATTTTTGAAGCTAGAACGACTTTTTTCTTTATCTCCTTTGAGTTTATAAATGTGAAAGTAACTCTGTCTGTCTGTTTGTCTCGCTTACACGCCAAAACGACTGAACCGATTTTAATGAAATTTGATACACAGATAGTTTAGACCCTGAGCTAGGACATGGATTATTTTGTAATGTAAAAAAGAGTTATAAGGGGGTTGAAAGGGAAGATGAAAGATCAAAGAGTAGATGCAAGGTTGTATGGAAGTCATTTTTAAGGCTAGAAGCATAGAACGTATTTTTAGGCTATTGATGAAATATGACATTTAATTTTTGTAAAATTGTTCACCCTAAAGGATGGTAAAATAAAATAGGAGATGAAACTTTTTATGGCAATTCATAATTTTTGAAGTTAGAACGATGGAACTGTATTCTTTGTGTTTTTGGGTTAGTTTAATTAATAGCTTCCTAATATTACAAATGTGAATGTCTGTCTATCGCGCTTACATGCCAAAATTACTAAACTGATTCAAATGAAATTTGGAACACAGACGAGACCCTGACAAAGGTTACTTTTTAATGTGAAAAAGGGTTGAAGGGGGTTGAAAAGGTAGGTGCAAGGTTGTATGGATGTATCGTCGTCTATACATATAAATAAAATTGGCGCGTCTGTTTGTAATATTGTAATAATCGTTTTTTACTACATGCATATGAATATAAATACGGTACATCCACCAAAATAACATTTTTTTAAATTGTTGTCTGTCTGTCTGTTTGTTCCGGCTCTCTGAAATGGCTAGGCCGATTTTGACGGGACTTTTTTTGGCAGATAGCTAACGTAATATGTAGTAACTTAGGCTACTTTTATTTTAGAAACATTATTTTATTTTAGAATTATGAAGTATAATTCCACGCGGACGAAGACGCGGGTATGGCTAGTGTTAAATAAAAGTGACGAGTGCCTGGATCATTACTATTACCCAAAAAATAATAAGTAACTTAAAACAGCAAGTTCAAAATAGATTTAGAGACTATACGGTATATCGATATATATATATATATAAAACAAAAAAAAAACAATTTCTTTACAGTATCCGCGACACCTACAGTACTCGTAGTTACACTTGCATTCAGTAGTTGTAGTTAACCTATATATTGATGATATACAAAAGTATAAAATCAAGACAAACGGATACTTACATAATGTCCCATAGCAAAATAGGTAAATCAGTCAACCATCAAACACATTTAAGAGAAATAATGGAAATAATAGTACCTAATATTAAACTTAATAATAAGTGTCACTTTAATACTATGTGTATAATATTCGCCTTCAGAAATAAAATTACATTGCGCAATATATATTGAAAAATATACATTTAACAAAAAGATAAAATGCACCTCACTCTATTTTACCACCTGCATACTAAATGCTAGGATATTTATTAAATTACGGAGACGACAATGTTAATTGATCGTCCCTATAAAATTTTTTAAACAAATAAATTTTATCACTATTTTTGTTATGTATAGCGTACAATAGATGCATATAGGGATCGCTAAAATGTACTGTTTCCGCCCTCAAGACATTCAGAAAGGGACAAGAAAAGTTCAAATAACCCAAATTAAGGAGTGCAATAAAGAGACCCTTCGGAAAGCCTTGTGGGAGCAATTCATGAAAATGCTAGTCGAACGTTTCAGTAAAGATGTTCGAAACAGTATAAAGGGTTGAATAAAAAGATGGACTTTGGTGCGGTCTTTCATTTACTCACCTGGATTTTTTGTATATCCTGGACTTTCATGTTATATATTAGTTATCAACCATTTGTTTCAATGGTAGATAACCAATGGAGTTTTTTAACTACAATGACATTTATTATTTTATACTATACTTTGAATTCTTGAATATCTTTACTATCGGTGAGATATTCGTCGTTATCTTAATCGAAAATTCTAATGTTTCTTTTAAAAAAATATGCATATGTAAGAAGCAAAAATAAAAGATGATGACAAAGGCTTTGAAGCCGGCTACCGCAAGGGAAACTCCAAGTAGCGCCCGGGACTTGTGACACGGGTGTAGGTTTAAAGAGCTCTTTTAGAATGTATTAACACTCACTTTCACTACTTGCAGCTTCCCTCCAGGCCCAACTAAGACCGGGATAAACCCATTTCTAATACAATTCACTTTAGTATCCAACACAACCGGCACGCTCTGCGCTCGTCGACTGAATGCCGCGGCTCACCTAGTGAATGAGGATTATTCAACTACCAACCTCCGTATTTATAGACCAAAGTCAGTGTAGTTGGTCGGTCTACAAATACTAGATGGCGCTATTTACAATATTGTAATAATATTTACATTGGGTACTTCATTAGTACTAAATACAAACTACCTTCTTTTAATATATTTTTAAAATATCGGTTTTTTTTCTACACTATTGATGTGAACTCTAACACCATAGATGTCAGTGAAAATAAAATTTTAGCTTTCGATATATAATTAACAAATATGTGTTAGAGCAATTTAGCAAAACGTCGTCTTTAATTTAGACTAGGTAAATGATTGTATGACAGGTTCATCACATTTAAAGTTCCATCTAGACGTTTATTTGAAACTTTTGTACTTTCACTATTACATTGCTACGTAAAATATGGTTCAGTCTTTAGATACGCTACGCAGAAATAGATCACATATACATAAATATGTCAAATATGGATGTTTGACGTATTTATGTATATGTGGTATTATTGCTTTTAAATAGAAGAATGAAGGATTATGTTTTATTTCGTTTCTAAGCTATCCGTGATCGAGATTGTTTGCTTTTTAACTAAAATTAATATGTTTTTTTATTCAGAGAGTACTTCATAATTTTAATTTTATAATTATTTGATTTATAGGGTTATACATCCGTATAGACTTTAGTTCCCAAACAATCAGACTAGCAATACATCGATTAATATATCACTTATTAGAATTGGGAATGTATTTTCGATAAATATTATTTACATAAATATGTAAGTACAAAAATATTATTGTGCCCAAGCATTGTCAAGAAGATAAAAATAAAAAATAGCTCAGGTAGGAAATTCATGAAAGTAATGAATAAGTCACATTTCCTGATTATTCTTATTACCATTTTGATATCGAGTTCGCGAGGAGGTCATAAAGTTACAAAAATACGCTACATTTTTCGCCATCTAGCATTATGATAATATAAAATAAAGTAAGCCATTCAGCAATAATAAGTTATCGCTTAAATCATGCTCTCCTACCGAGACAGCCCAACAGGGAGCAATCTCAGCTAGAGAGCGACCGAAAAATATAACCTACACTTACAAATACTTGCGTCCACGAAATAACGTATTAGGGAGCGCCGAGTATGACATAAATAGTGGCGGTGTGGAAGTCAGTTGACTATATAAAAATGAGGTTGTGAGGGATGTAGACGGGGCGGCAGAGCGCCGGCGCTAAGGCTCTCGCCGTTACTTCACATAGTTCGCGGCCAGACCCACTGGCGCCAGCCGTGACTGCGGCTGTGCTGTTTGTGACATTTTCCTCTCACAGTTGACGTGATTCAATAATAACGACCGCACATTGACATGTCATCCGCGCGTATTAATCTTATGTGTCTTTTTGTTTAGCAATTGATAAGTGCTTAGTTTAAAAACATTGTGTAAGGTGAGCGACCATTGAACATGAGTGACAGTAGAGCGGCTATAACCGCAGCAACTTAAGTGCCTGTGTTGTTGTAAAGTTAAAAGTATGTTTCCTGGAATTCAAGACTTTAATGTGGACGTGAAAGGTGTTAATATGTTTCAATCAAGCAAAATGCAGTACTATCTGGTACTGAATCCAGCTTAAACTTTTATGAGACCTAAAATATTGTCAGCGATGGCTCTATCTTTAAAACAGTGTTTACTTTTAATAATTCTATTATCCTGGCAAGTAACTAATTTAGCTTCTATTTGCTTAGAAACTTGCATGTGTAATAATAATATAACTTTGTGCCAAAAATGTTCTTATAATGTTACTTTCAAGGAAAACTTTAATATATATCACGCGTCCGTATGCTGTAATGAAGAATTGCCGGCATCATCATGGTCTCAGAAATACATAAATAAAACTCTTTCGGAAGTCGCTATTCACTTTGGAATAACATGTAATGAAAGTACTGTTCATATAGAATTGCCATTATTAAATACTTATTCGTTGTCTATTAGAAATAATAACATCAACAAATTAAGATTGAGTATAAGACCGCAAACCTTAAGAGAAATTGACTTAACCTCAAATAAATTGCAATACATTACCAAAGGCCTCTTTAACAACTTTTCGAACTTACGGAAACTAATTTTGAGTAGAAATGAAATCATCAACATATTCGAAGAAAGTTTTAATGGGTTATCAAAATTGGAATCCTTAGATTTGTCGAAGAATAATTTAACAATTTTAGCTAATGTTTTTACGCCACTTAAAAATCTTCAACATCTTAATCTAAGTAGAAACAACATTCAGTTTATTCATGAGAATTATTTCAATAACTGGTTGTTACAGCACTTAGATGTATCTCATAATAATTTAAAAAAATTGGCACCTGGAGCTCTCCAATTATTACCAAATTTAGCACGATTATTATTGACTGATAATCCCCATTTAGGAATCACGCAGCTAGATACTCAATTGTTGGTGGGTACTGGACGCAGACTGCAGCAAATAGATGCATCTAGAACTGGTCTGTATCAAGTCCCCGAGGCATTTACACATTCAGTTCGGTTTTTATCATTAGTCGGGAACAGAATATCAGCTGTAAGATGTGGAGATTTAGACAGCTATCCATTATTGCAATCTATGGACTTTTCTGACAACAAAATTGTCATAGTTGAGGACGATTCATTGGGTAGACTGGAAATGTTGTTATTTTTGAATTTCAATAAAAATCTACTGACTAGTATTCCTAAATCTTTGCCTGATGAATTAAAATATTTATCTATGAATAACAATTTGATAAAAAATTTATCCATACCAGATCTTAAAAATTTACCAAATCTGAAAATTTTGTTATTACAATATAATAACATTAACTATATTGAAGAACACGTGTTTGATGATTTGCTGTCGTTAGAGATGTTGGATTTGTCGAGTAACCCTATTAAAATGTTATCATCCAATACTTTTGATGGACCTCTTTCTCTCAGGGATTTAAGACTTTGCTATTTGAACTTTACTACTCTGCAGCAAGATGGATCGTTTCCTATGTCGTCGCCAGAAAGTGTCCAAATGCTACATCTACAATCTAGTCCAGGATTGGCGAGACAGTTGTTATCAGATTCAGCAGCTCTGGCAGCTTTTTCACATTTGCAGTACTTGGACCTGAGAATGAATAATTTATCTGAAATTAGGAACGACTTGCTCTTTTATTTAGTACAATTAAAAACATTGAGGTTGCATGGTAATAGTATTAATTGTAGTGCGGAATCATGGTTAAAAGATTGGATGAATTGGAATAAAACTTTGTCCAACGGAGAAACCTGTTACTACTCAACGTCAGTAGCTAAAACAGAAATAAATAAGTACAATTGTACGTTTCCCGAGACATTTACCATAAGTGAAAGTTTGCCACCAGTAAATCTCTATAGCACTGAAATGATTAATAAATTACTGAGGTACTATGGATATCTAAATAATAAAACAGAGAAAGTATATAAAAATGAAAATAATACTTATAACCAGAAAAGCAAGGAAAGGAATAAACACAACCCAGAAGTAAATGTGAACCATAATAATGTAACCATATTTACAGTCAACTTTCATTTAAAGAATGAAAATAGAACTACTTCAAATGATTACTTAAACGAAAGTGCTATATTCAAATCAAGAGAATCCAGTAAAGTGTTAGATCAAAATAAATTTCAAAATGATCAGTTTAGTATTGATCACAGATTTTTAGATATAGAACCATACGTTTCACCACCAACGCGAAATTACAAGAAAATATCAGCATATGAGGATATTGCCGAAATTCAAAGAAGAAATAAATCAGGAAAGCGCTTGAATACTCCAAACAATATAACTACTAATGTAGATACAAATAGAAAATCTATAAATAATTCTGAATTTCAAATGACATCAATACAAATAAATACTGCAGAAATTGTTACTGTTGCTGAATTGAACGCTTCTAGTTCTAATACAAAATCGGAATATTCACCTTACCAGTCGGCTCGTACAAATTACGCCCAGTTTATTGGAACTGCTGCAGTGTCCAGTTTAATAGTAATGTCACTGATACTGTGGGCAAGTTTCCGATTGCGATATAGGAGAAGACAAATGCCGGTTACTGACACAGACGCGGAGGACCAAATAGAGGTGTCGAATATATCCGGCGGTGTACTCTGGTGACACCTGCGGGCAGCCGACCCCACTCCCTTCGAATATGACTCCCTTCTGACGTAGCATTAATGTGAGTATTGATTATGTAATTGTACTTACTCTTTATATAAAACACATAATTTTACTAACTTACCTTCTATTATTTGATCAAGATAAAAGTACCCTATATATTGAACTACCCTAAATACTAAGCTATATTCAATTGTGTAACATTTGATTAAGAGATTTAAAATTAATAAATGTTATTATTTATGTTCAAGTAACAGTTAATTAACGATTGCTTAAATTAACTATTTAGGTATTTAAAACAACCGTATGTTTACATGAGCTAAAAAGAATAAATAAAACATTACCTTTATAATTTTTACTTATCAACTTTTGACATCACTACACAGTGTAGGAGTGTATTAAAAATAACTTGTTATCCATCTTGGGTGTTCCGCAATATTGGTTTAAAAATGACGGCACATAGTAAACCGTATACTGATATCTAAAATAATAAATTATACAAAACTTAACAGTATTTGAAGTCAAAAATCTGGTAAAAATAAATATTCAAGTAAATAATATTAATTAACATATCTTATAATAATAATGTTTGTTCCAGTTCGGAGCGGTCGGCTGCTATTAGAGATGTCTTGTGATACAGTTGGACGTGCATATTTTTTTATTGAAATAAGTACAAATAGTGTGATTAGCTGCGTAGTGAGCAGCAAAGGCTATAAATATTGTTCGTGTCCAAAGTGTAAATAATTGTTCTGTTAAATTATATCGAAGGCCATAGACGATAGACATATTTTTGTCATAAGTCATAGTAGCAATGTGATTCTAAAATATTTTATATTGAACAAGTGACAGTAAGATTATGACCTCTGATAGTTTAAACTGTTGATAAAATAAATTGTAATATATGTAGGTATATAATATTGTAAATAGTTAATAAAGCTACTGTTTACAATATAGTAATGTATCTAAGTCTCTCCCGTTTCGTGAGATAGATTATAGACTAACGGAGTCCAGAATCTTACTGTGACATATTCATAATTACATTATTATTGGTATTATATTCCGATTTTTTTAGAAAAACTATTGTGAATTATATAAAGCTTAAGCGATACTTTATGTTACTTTTCTATGTTACCTTTTCAAGACTATAGGGCTAAACGTATATTTGGCGTAAATATACATCGTATCAAGAGTGGCCTCTGCTATCTGACTATCCTATCTCTAACCATTCTATAACTAAACTGTCTTTAATCATAAAGCAGATGAAGTCGCTGGTAACATTAAGCATAAAATAATTAACTGTTCAAGAAAAAAATCACAATCTTCTGTAGTTAGAAATAAATAATTAAGGAAGAATAAATATTTTTCAAATGACACAACAATTACACCATTAATTATGTAATTCAGGACGGAAAATCGGAATACAATCTAATATATAAACGAATACTATACGTACATAACTATGCCAAGAATACAAAATGTAGCCGAGTTTCTCCCAAAATAACTGACTTTGATTTCGGCGGCTGTTTTTTACGTTAATTGGTATTTCATAGAGTACCTTGAATGCCGTCAATGATTTTTAGTCGTAAAGATAATACTTTTTTTATTAACCTTAACTCAGTGCTGTTTTGGGAGTAACTCTACAGATCAAGTCTTCCCTGTTAATCGATTATACCATTGTTGTATAAACTATGCTAATAATCATATAGCGCATTCCATTATAAGTGCCAAATTATAATTTCTTTATAATCTAACGTCAACTTTCACATTTTCATCATTTTATGTTACATGCTTCAACTGTTACTGAACGGGAAAATAGGATATGTTGGTATATTTTACGCAACTCTGTTTGTACTCGTACACGTATCTAAGTGTAACATTCATAAATAATTTGTGTAACTTTGAATTGTATTCCAATAAAACTTACCTTTTTATGTTTCAATTTATACGAGTATATTCGACTATTGTAAGTATAAACAGTTATCTCACTATCATTTTAATGAATATACATTATTTTCCTCTTAGATATAGACAATAGCAAAATCAGTGAGTAATTAAGTTAAATTCAGTGATATAATTCATTTAATATTCAATAGTTTGTATTCAATATTTCATTATAAGTGAACAATATCATTCATAATATCTGATTTCATTATAACTGAATTTGAATTGAACAATTGGATATCGACACATTTCATTCATCATTCTGAAACTAAGGTTGTAACTTGATATATAACATTTTGATGACAATGATGTGTAGATATATGTTTTTACGTGAATTGTAGTAAATTATGTACAAACAGATAGCCAAGATTTAATAAATAAATAGATTGCATTTGGATTTTTTTTTGTGCTCTACTATAGTCTTTTATATTCGATGAAGCGAACTTTCGTTTCCTTTTTTGTTTAGCGTGAATGTAGTGCGTTCTAAAAATGTTATAAGAGCATTCCTGAGTTGTATACATTCGCGAATAACTAATAAATATATTTGTATGTCATCTTGCTTGTTCAATTAGTCTAACTCCTGTATAGGAAAATTATTTCGAGCGTATTTATCTTTATTTATATGAAGCAGGGATTTATAGAGAGGATTAAATTTTGAACAGAGAGAATAACAACTTTGATCTAGACAAAGATGAAGCAAATCGAAATAAAAGGGAAAAAGGAAAAAGGGAAGGCGTTAAGATTTCCTATGAAAATATTCACTTATGTTCGAAGTGAGAATAATTCTACGAAAATATAGCGATTGAAGCGAAAATAATTTTCTTTACGACTTATCTAAAGAAAATCGTGTTCACTTGAAAAGAAAAGAAGTGAACGTAGGTAATGATTTTTCAATATTTGTATTGACAAGGAAAATAAGGGACCCGCCTACGCTATTTAAGCCTGCGGGATGTTTGTATTGGTTTTAGACAAAACAGATAATGCAGAATTATTATTAACGACTGACGTTATATAAAATTATTCAATGGGTCAATTATTATGAAATAATAACATATGACTATAATAGGAACTGTTAGGAGTTATAACTACATTTTATCTCTTTTAGGAATTCAATCGATCTCCGTGGAATCCAATAGGTACATAGGTATATTGGTTTGTACATGTAAATATGATTAAAAGCAACATATTATACTAATAATAATTAGAAATAAACTATTCAAACTGATAAAAATTTATTTGCTGCAATAGCTAGCACTTTCTTCTCACATTTTATTAAATATAAAATATTTATTTTCTTTACTAATGTAGTGTAATCTTACGTATAAAATTGTAAATATGTAATGGTTTCATTCATCAAGAGAATACAAGTATATCATTGTATAAAATATAAATATTATTAATAATCTCAAGGTAATAAGAAAGAAGACCATCTAAATAGATACTTGAAATAATTTATAATTCAAAGTGGACTATTGTATACTTATTTAACTTTCAGAGAATCGAATTAGGAGTATAACAGATTCCGAGGCACGGGAATGCGAAAACGTTAACAAGGTTATTTCATGTTCTATAGTGAAATGTAAACAGCCCTTCAGCCATTATGAGTCGTGGTGCACAAGACAAACAGTCTTCGAGCGGCGGCGGCGCCTGTGTCTCGATTAAATATTGATATTGGGGTTCACCCGCCAGCGATACCTACCCACTCTGCCCAGTGATTTAGCTTCAATTATTTAATTTTATTAATTTACGAGTCATGTCTATATCCACCCTATAATAATTGTTAAGTTTTCGTTATGTTAATTGAAAATGCTGTAAATACTGGAGTAATATTAAAATTACTCATACACATATTGATTTCTGTATTGAATTAACAGCTTGTTAACGCCGTGAATTAATGTAGTTATTAAAACGACAAAAGCGTCGATTATATGGACTCAATTAATCATAATTGAAGTAGACAAAGGTCGTTAATCCTGGTTGGCTTTAATTACCAGCCCCTATTTAATCCGAGGCTCCAATAAAAGCATTTAATTAAAATCATAGCAGTAAATACATCACGTTGGAACTGTGCCCGTGCAGAAGGTTTTGGATAGGAAGGCGAGTCTTTAATAAACAATAAGTTATGCACTATAATACAATTACGAGTATTATTCAATAAAAACAATCTGAAGAAATCATGAAATATTTTGTATTTAATAATTTCTGCAGTAGATTTGGTACTTGAAAGGCAAACAGGCTGCCGACCGACCGATGGTATGTATGGTAACCGATGGTAACTAATGATCGTCGCATATATGTACGTATAATTGTAGTATACATGTATGGCGAAAAACGCACTGGACATTATATTATTCGTTGTATGAGAATACAATACTAGTATTCAATCACTAATCATTAAATTCTAAATAAACGATCTAACACGATTTACAACAGAAATTTAAAGGATTTATCTTTTAATAATGACATTAACGATATATTTACATAGGTTTCTTAATAAAAACAGGTAATCTTTAACTGTTTTTAAATGAAAAGTAATAGAATATGTACCTAATTCAAATTTCAGCAACTTATGCTGTATTCTTAGTTATTTGTCTGTTATCAATTAGATAAGGATTGTATATAGTTTTGTAGTTTATAGTGTTACGAGCTACCTTAACAAATATTAAAGTTTTTGGAAAAGTAAAATGAATGAACAATATCTTGTATTTACAAATCCGAGCAGCATATCGGTCGGGCTCGGAGTCTTTGAATTATTCATAATACTGACTATGGTAGGGATTCATTCTTTTGCTTCCATTGGTATAATTTTATATCTTATTACCTATCATTGCTCCTTACTGTGGCTTGTAATGAAGTAAGTAGTTTCACGATAGGTCAAGGAATATTCTAGATATAGGATTGCAGAAAGCCCTTCATTTTATTCGAATTGTTGTCCCGATTTATTTAATATTAAATACTTTTAGAATTGTAAGCATTATATAAATAGGATATTTTACTTAATATAATATTACATAAAAGCTCCCGATGTTTCGATGTTGTTATAAACGTCTTGTTTACAGGTCGTCTGGCGATGGTGTTAGAAGTAAACAATTATTACGAGTGAACAAATCTGTCTACCCGCTATGTTATTTTTTTTCATTGTAAACCGTCACCACTAATTCTTGTAAAACAGAACGTTGATAGTCACGTCAAAATACACTCTTTACAATTGAATTGAATTATGTTCTTAGGAGAACGTAAACTGTGTGAGATTTTTTATTGAAGTAAATATGGTAAGGATCGAGTATTTACTCAATAATTTCTATTTTTTGTATAAATAATGGAATTATTTATATAGAACGATACGGCAATAGAACTCATAAAAGTAAAATAATATCTAATATAGAATTTTGCTCGCCATTCGTGTTTATACTCATCCGAAACGGCTTCACCGTATGTTCAGTAGGTTTGAGAACAGGTTTAAAACTTATTTTGTAAATCCAAGTATTCAGGGTGAGTCTCCCCTAAAAATTTTTTTATGCGTCTTGTTTTTTTATTTAAATTTTTTTTATTACATGGCCAATAAAATATATACAACCCTAAAACTTCATCCTTCTACCACCAACCCCTATTTTTTAATTGCGATTTCAATTTATATGGCAAAACAAAGTTTGTGGGGTCAGCTAGTTTATTTCTAAAATTACATGTTCTTGGTGAGTACTACGGTGCCAATAAGTGAATATCTGATTATAATCAGAAATATATACCAATGCACCCAGGAAGGAATAAACCTACTAAACTATACATATTCTTTCATCTTGGCTGAACCGAAAATGCTGAAGCTAAGACATGAAAATTGGTAAATATTCTTATTTTACGCTGTATAAACGCCACCGGCGTCGGAATATATTTTTTAACTTTATAACTTTAAATCTAAGAGAGTTTTAAAATGGGGGAGATATATTTTCATTTTTACTTTGTATAAATACATAAAAATATTAGGTTTTATTGACTTGTCAGTTGTTCTTATAATTCTTATTAGTAATTATAGCAATAATCTTTATTATAAATCAATTAAATAAATGAGTTACAATATAATTATTCAATAAACAGCAAACAGAGAACAAAACAGGAAACTGATGAAGTGGTTTAAAATACATAACTTGGAAGGCTTTTGTTTTATTAC